ATGGGAGCTGTATAAAACATGACTCATAGATAGGAGGGATATTTCAATAATTAATTACAAATTCATGCCAATAAATTGTGATACGATTACTAATCGACAACGTCTGCATCACGACTAATTTGGTTAGACATGTATTCCATAGTAAATTTACAATCCGTCGTAATCGCACCAGTGCTACCGTCACATCCACCATTCATCAAGCACACTGACAGACTGATAATGATCAGCTCGATACTCACTGTTTATAGTGTCTCATCTAGTCTGACATTGTTTACATTGAAACTTTTAGAATTATATTCAATCTAAATTATTTTCAATAAGGCATAATATTATTTTACATCTGTATTATCCGCGTATTCCATTCGCTCAGAACAATGAAACGGTGTACAGGTTTACTTGGTATCATGGTAGCGTTACCGTAAAAGATATATATTAAATAGGAAAGAGCACACCTTAATGTAAACAAAATCATATATAGAGCTCAAAATTGATAAAGCTAGGGCAAAATATAACCGAAGTGAAACTTTACACGGACACCCTTGACAAATTCCCGAATAGAGACAGGTGTTCCAGAACGGTTTTCGCCTTTTGTTATGTACCATATCATCAGTGCACTGGGACTGAATTAGAATTCGAAGCTGATACTTAAAGGAAACCAAAGAGACACCAAAAATGTCAGAATTGGGTAAATCAACAGGGTCCCTTGGTCGTTTCCATAGATGAGATGGCTCGTCTAGCGAGCATTACAGTTCTCCCACAACGATTTAGATAAGATTTATCTACCCCCATAAAACATGTCGGATTTTCTCTCTTCTTTTACCTGTCTGGTTTAAGAGGTAATATATTGGCCGCATTAGGTTTCAATACTTATATTTATCTATCATTTTATGGCCGTGCGATTAATATTTACCACTTATTGAAAACAAAATGTCAATACTAGTCATTTATCAGATAAAATCATCAGAAATGGGTGCCAAAATGAATTTACAAATTGGCGTTCGAATGATAACCCTCAATATCCTGATGAAATATGTTTTTCTATTCAATCATTGATGGATGAGGTTTATGTATTAACAGTACGATCAGTTTATCATTTGCATAAACACTGAACAAGGGATTGTCGCTGACCTGTGAACAGTGTGCTGGAATAGCAGTGCCCAACATTTATATTCATCTATTATAAGTCGAGTAAAATCTCCTCGTGTTTAACTTACTCCACCTGTTGTGTTGACTTTATTCTAATTAAAATGAATTAAATTCCGACTAAATGTGTATCGTGCTTGGTTACCAATCGGTAAGTCAATTGTATGAAACCCGATGCATTAATATCCGTTTTTAGTTAATTATCTGAGATTGATCAATTGATTTAAATGACAATAATATTTTGAACAGATTAAATAATCATGAAAATATCATTGAATCAAAGCCACCTTTTAATGTTATGTAGCTAATGAAGCATTCAGATCTTTATGAGCGCGGACAAAGCATGAGTGACTCTGTGTAAAACAGATACTTCCTGTTAGGACGGGGTTGTTTTAATTTAAAATAACAATGAGATCGGGTCCATTGGACAGTCACGAAATAAAATAACTTGGCATTGTCTTGTTGAAGAATCAAAATGGGGACCATCTCAAGGTTTTAAAACCAGGTGACAGTCTTTGGCGCAAAACAAAACATGGAGCGTATTGGAGTAGAACAAACAGGGGTCTATCTAGATGTAAAACAGCCATGGAACTATCTCGGTGTGAAACGACCATGGGACTGTCCCGGTATCGAACAAGGTGTTATGATCGGGTGTTAACATGTTGAAGTATCACTGTAGATCACGGATTGTTTTAAAGACATTCATTTCCCCCTATTTTTTTTATTGCTTTTGAAGGGTCTCTTTTTGTGTAGATGCTGCCCTAGTTACAGCGATTTTGAGTTCGAATTACGACTGGTTTACACTCGGTGTTTGTTACCACCTTACCATATTTTTAGTCTCCAACCTTTTAGACGTTAACAGTACAATCCAATGGGAAATCGTTACTGAAATAATCGATATTTTGTGTTAGATCGAAAAGATTTTAATTGCTCCCTCACTCCTTGGTATTGCTAATGAGACTGATCCAGATCAAAGTTTCTAAATGAAGAACTGATGGTGTAACGGGTTTGCATTGACATAAAGGAGAACGGCTTTTAAGTAGGGTTTGCTGTATGACCGCGGTCATGCATCCTTGACCAAGTGTGGAAGCCATACATTTCTAATAGTACTATTTTTCTAATAAGCATGATTGTGTACGCGTACCTGAAGTAGTTCAATACATTGATGAAATATGTTTCAGGCGTACCATGATATCAATGTTTACCAGACATCCAGGTTATACTTATCGTCGGAAAGGAATTTAAGCCCGTGTCATATCTCTATTTTCCCGAAGGTTTCGTTGCATATGTTCTTAACATAACAAAAGCTTTCAAGAACTTACATTGATAACGTGATGTTAAATACATATTCGTCTTGTATCTTGTATGGAGACATTATAGTATAACCTTGGAACGTTATGCTCATCAGTGTTTCAATCACTCTCAAGCATTCCTTTATTCCTTACTAATGTGTTGTGTTGACGTCATGGTAACAGTGTTATGACGTCATCAAGATCAACATCATAGGTATCATCATGTTTGTCAAGATGGAGGTGACATAGAGGTCCGGTGACATTTAATCCATGACGAAGAGTGACTTTAATGTTTCTTAATATTATTGCGTTCCCTACAATTAATAATTTATAAGTTATTCTATTTCGTTTATTTATAAAGAAGATATCGTGGAAATGAATGTGATATTTAAAAGTAGTTTAGAAAATAAATGTTGATACAACTATATACTTTTCCCATGAATAAACTGTTAAAGTGTTAGACGTTGTGTATGGCTGGTCGTTCCATTAAACTCCCACAAACCTTTAAATTATTAATAAAATATTGATTAGAGTTATACTTGTTTACCATGCGGTCAATGAATCCGTATGTTTGGCAACAGATATACACGCCACATCTTCGTTTATATATAGTGACGAAGATGTAATCGATAGCCATGGCATCGTGAATTATACAATAGCGGAATTTAAATCCAACATCAACGTTTATTAACGGTAAGAATTGTCCTTGTATGAAATAAACGAGATGCATAAATTTGTACTTGAAGCTTAATTGATTTCCCTCGATCGGACGGGAAATGCATGGGGTCACCTTCCCGAACACGTGGGTTTTCTCCGGGTACTCCGGTTTCCTCCCACATTAAGACCCCCCGCGGGCTAACATCCGGGCCAACAAGAGTGATTATTAAAAGTTGTAAAAACTTGTTTCATAATTGTTGTAAAATAAAGTATATATTTTTAAATTGATTTAGATTAGAATCATCTTTTAGAATTACTCAACATTTGTGTTTGTGAAAATAAATATTTTACCAAAAAGCGGAAGATACTTTTTCTAATGAAGATTTTATGTGCGTTATGTAACGCGTCACCGTTGTCAATATGTGTTTGTATCAGTGGTTATAAATACTAGGTGTGTATTGGTCGCCGGGACTCCAATGGATTTTTAATCAAAATGTAACCAGTGCTGTCTGGAAAACAATAAACAGACTGATTCTGACACGAAGGCTATAGAATAGCCGCTCAATAACCACTGACGTCAGTCGCACAGCAAGCTTTATTAGCGAATTATGTCAATTCCAAAGTTCGAAAATGCAAAATCAAACAATGCATTTTCTAGTACTAAAAATAATCAGCCTTAAATAATGTATACATAAAAATCATATTTCAGGATATGCTTCAAAACCTATAAATAATTGAAGTTTAACTTAAGCATGATCAAGCTAACAATGCTTGATGTGTTTAAGTCCTTTAGCATTGCTATTGTTGTTTATCATTACCAATTGTTGTTATTGTCTGACCCGCGTGGCTTTATTTCAAGGTGAATAGTTCAGGTTCGATGTTATGAACATTAAATGTGCCCATGTATCACTATTCGTACATTCTGAGGGATGTTTCTTCTGAATTGGACGTAGGACAGTTTTATTATTTTACCTTACAACTTAAATTGAGATTTCATGAAACAGTTAAAATACATTTTTATTCGACTTCTTGTTTATAAAAATATAAGAAACAAGACAAAGAGTTTCTTTGCAATTCCCTAGTACAATGTACTTTCACCTCTTTAGAGGTTCATCAGGAGATGTGTTTATTTACGTTCACAGGACAACGCAATTGTGATATTTTCTATTATATTTAACCATCAAAATATCTTTGTTTCTTAGTGTCATTCCTTCTATATTTAACCTTTACAAGGACGTTGGGTCTTTTTGTTTATGTATATTGATTTGTAATAACGACAGCGCAGACAAAGAATTTGTCAAATTTTCAGAGTTATCCGCCCCTGCATGAATCATAAGGAAACACAAATTTTCTTAAACATTTGTAAATATTTACCTATTCCTCTCAAATATATCATTTTGAAAATTTGGATTTTTACACATCAAGGTTGTCATGCTTTGAGCCTTCGAGCACAATAATCAAAACAAAACAGATTTTAGAATTTTTAAGCATACCAATGGAGCCTGCAACGATAAAACGAAAGTTTAACACTAAACCATTAATGCTAATTGGAAATAGGACAACAGCATAAACCACAAGTAACATGAAACTAATGAGATAAATACGATGCCTTTCAATGGACGCCATTTTGCCATGCCGTTGCAAATGATCACTCACCTGAATGGTTTATAAAATTACCAGTAATTTGCAATATAAACGTCTTTATCTTCCTGATAGCCTGGCCATTTTTTCACAGAATCAGGGAGTGGTAGATGTTGGAAAGTGAAAAACGTTAGCAAGAGAGATTAATTTTTTTAAACTATTGGAATCTCAAACGAGAGGATTTCTCACACAACAATTATTGAAAGTGTTACAGATGATTTACAGAAGAAATTAACCTTGTTTTATTAAACAAATTGTATATTTTAGAGGATCAAAAAGTAGATGAAGGAACTGAGCAGAAAGAAAATGCCACGGACGCCCAGACGGACGAAACAGCTGGACAGACAAATGATACACAAGAGAAAACCCAGGATGAAAAGACTGAACAAGAGCAAGCATAGATAAACATGTTGGAGATATAGTTATCAGAAATGAAAGAAGGTACGATTCCTGGAAACCGGAGAAAATGTGTTTCGGTTTATGTTACTATTAGAGGGTTTAACACAAGTGTTTGTAGGAAATTAATGAAACGAGTTGTTTTATACATTTCCATTGGGGAGCTAAAATTAAAACATGGCGAATTTCGTGTATCTCATAAAGAATGAAAACACATGCAAGATTCTGTTTATCACATAACAAAGATGTATTGTAAACATTCATGGAAGTAACAATTATTTATGGTGCCTAAATTCCGAAATATCGACGACTCAAAGACCCATTGAATTTTGACATCACTTGGTTCCATGAACTTATGTCGTTTATTAACACACATTACCAACATCTCTATTATATATTTGTTCTTTTATCACAAGAAAGGGAATTACAAAGAAAAGAAAAAAGTCACAATGTGGCGTTTATGTCAGGTTTTACAATGTTAATTATACCTTTGTGGAGGAATGCAAAAAATTGCTGGGTAGCTTTTGATTTGTTCACAAGATAGCTGTTTGTGGGTTGTTGATTCACTTAAAATCAGTTAATTTCATAATCAAGTAAACATCAAGTTATCCCCTAACAGCCTCACTATAAATAGTATAAGAAGATATTTGTAGAACATTCATAGTTGAGACATATGGCTGCCGACATTAAGATACTGAAACAGGTACACCAGCCGTAATTACATTGTCACCAGCAGGATAGAGAATCTCGGCTTCAATCGATCAATCATCACAATGAGATCCATTAAACAGATCTGTCGTCTTTCTTCCACCCGTAATTACAGCCCGTCTGGATTGTGTAGGGCCTATTTATAACGAGCGCCTGCGGATTTAAATACTTATACACATAGATGAATCACTGTTGCTATACACATTTATTCAGGTGCTCAATATATCTCGAATGCTTAAGTGAGATTCATATAAATTCGATTTTTATTAGCTTAAATTTAATAATGACTATAATTAAATAAGGAGTACGATTCCGTTATCATTAAACGGTCATTTCATATCAGTGTATAGTAATGTTCGATTACCTGTTATTATTTTAAATGTGCTGCTTTCACCATTTACATATTCTAGTCCAAGATGTAATGATAAGTAAAAATGTTCTTGTGACGTCAAAGTATTGTATCTGTATACATCATATCTGCCATACCCTTGGGTAACAGAGAAATCCTACCCTAGGTGTTAACAAAAAAAAACATCAACAGATAAAACGGGGGATAACTCCTTGAATGGTTGGAGACAATATTATCTTACCCATTTTGGATAATCTCGTCACAATTCAAAAAGTACTTTTTTCAGTTATAGTTATAACTTGACCGAATCTAGATCCCGAGATATTAGGGCTACCCACAATAGTTACAACAAGACAGAGATATTGGGGCTACCCACACTAGTTACAACAAGACAGAGATATTAGGGCTACCCACAATAGTTACAACAAGACATAGATATTAGGACTACCCACAATAGTTACAACAAGACAGAGATATTAGGGCTCCCCACAATAGTTACAACAAGTCAGAGATATTAGGGCTACCCACAACAGTTACAACAATACAGAGATATTAGGGCTACCCACAATAGTTACAACAAGACCGAGATATTAGGGCTACCCACAATAGTTACAACAAGAGAGAGATATTAGGGCTACCCACAATAGTTACAACCAGACAGAGATATTAGGGCTACCCACAACAGTTACGACAAGACAGATATTAGGGCTACCCACAATAGTTACAACAAGCCAGAGATATTAGGGCTACCCACAATAGTTACAACCAGACAGAGATATTAGGGCTACCCACAACAGTTACAACAATACAGAGATATTAGGGCTACCCACAATAGTTACAACAAGAAAGAGATATTAGGGCTACCCACAACAGTTACAACAATACAGAGATATTAGGGCTACCCACAATAGTTACAACCAGACAGAGATATTAGGGCTACCCACAACAGTTACAACAATACAGAGATATTAGGGCTACCCACAATAGTTACAACATGACAGAGATATTAGGGCTACCCACAATAGTTACAACCAGACAGAGATATTAGGGCTACCCACAACAGTTACAACAATACAGAGATATTAGGGCTACCCACAATAGTTACAACCAGACAGAGATATTAGGGCTACCCACAACAGTTACAACAATACAGAGATATTAGGGCTACCCACAATAGTTACAACAAGAAAGAGATATTAGGGCTACCCACAACAGTTACAACAATACAGAGATATTAGGGCTACCCACAATAGTTACAACCAGACAGAGATATTAGGGCTACCCACAACAGTTACAACAAGACAGATATTAGGGCTCCCCACAATAGTTACAACAAGTCAGAGATATTAGGGCTACCCACAACAGTTACAACAAGACAGATATTAGGGCTCCCCACAATAGTTACAACAAGACAGAGATATTAGTGCTACCCACAATAGTTACAACAAGACAGAGATAGTAGGGCTACCCACAATATTTACAACAAGACATAGATATTAGGACTACCCACAATAGTTACAACAAGACAGAGATATAAGGGCTACCCACAATAGTTACAACAAGACAGAGATATAAGGGCTACCCACAATAGTTACAACAAGACAGAGATAGTAGGGCTACCCACAATATTTACAACAAGACATAGATATTAGGACTACCCACAATAGTTACAACAAGACAGAGATATGAGGGCTACCCAAAATAGTTACAACAAGACAGAGATATTAGGGCTACCACAACAGTTACAACAAGACAGAGATATTAGGGCTACCTACGATAGTTACAACAAGACAGAGATATTAGGGCTACCTACGATAGTTACAACAAGACAGAGATATTAGGGCTACCACAACAGTTACAACAAGACAGAGATATTAGGACTACCCACAATAGTTACAACAAGTCAGAGATATTAGGGCTCCCCACAATAGTTACAACAAGGCAGAGATATTAGGGCTACCCACAACAGTTACAACAAGACAGAGATATTGGGGCTACCCACAACAGTTACAACAAGACAGAGATATGAGGGCTACCCACAATAGTTACAACAAGACAGAGATAGTAGGGCTACCCACAATATTTACAACAAGACATAGATATTAGGACTACCCACAATAGTTACAACAAGACAGAGATATTAAGGCTACCCACAACAGTTACAACAAGACAGATATTAGGGCTCCCCACAATAGTTACAACAAGGCAGAGATATTAGGGCTACCCACAACAGTTACAACAAGACAGAGATATGAGGGCTACCCACAATAGTTACAACAAGACAGAGATAGTAGGGCTACCCACAATATTTACAACAAGACATAGATATTAGGACTACCCACAATAGTTACAACAAGACAGAGATATTGGGGCTACCCTCACTAGTTACAACAAGACAGAGATATTAGGGCTACCACAACAGTTACAACAAGACAGAGATATTAGGGCTACCTACAACAGTTACAACAAGACAGAGATATTAGGGCTACCCACAACAGTTACAACAAGACAGATATTAGGGCTACCCACAATAGTTACAACAAGAGAGAGATATTAGGGCTACCCACAATAGTTACAACAAGACAGAGATATTTATATGATCTGGACTTATATCAGTATAGTTTGTTTCTGAATTCAATTATAATGTGGTATTGGCATGTTGCATTGTATATCTGAAATGAATCAGATACAATTTAAAATAATGCATTTCCACTATTGAAATAAGTAACGGTGACTGTTTTAAACCTGCTATTTTCGGCGATTTAAAAGCTATAAAGCGTTATGGTCATTGGTTCTAGAAAAAAACAGGGATACACTTTCCATAAATACCACAAACAATGGAAACTTATAAAGATATGTGCAAGACAAACATTCAAAAATGCATCTGTGTCAGGCTGTTATGTGGCTCATTCGATTAACGAAAAAGGTTAAAGGCATTGTTGCCAATGTGAATATTGATTGTACACGGCGAAATATGGAGTAAGCTTAGAACCCTTGAATGTAAAATAGACCCGTCCTATACAAGTCACTGAATCTATGTACCACTGGTTAGCTTAAAACCTGTTCGTATGTTTACATCCGTTGTTAATGTATCAAAACGAGGAAATGCATGCAAATTATACTTACTAATTAGCCTCATCTTTAAAATGTTTGTCCTCTTCGTCAGTCATCATTGGTCTTTTATTATCTTTACAGATTTTCATTTATTTTTGGACCGTCGCTTTGAAGATGACAGCGAAGACGATGATGATGATGAGGGGAGGAGGAGGAGGAGGAGGAGGAGGAGGAGGAGGAGGAGGAGAATTAACTACAGACAAGAACAATTCCGTCCAGTTACACTGTACTATAAACGACTATTAACATATTATTATACATGTACTATTTATTTTTATACACGTCTTTGGCCTCTTCTAGCGCCCTTATTGAGAAAGCATTGCGATAGTTAAATGCACGGTCCTGTATTTAGGGTTTTCCTTGAGAAACATTACAGAGACAGGACACACTTTTAAGTTAACATTAAGGATTTTTTCTCAGCTCCAATAACGTTTTACAAACCTAGAGATAAGGAGTGTTCCTATATAGGGAAGCCTGGCTCCGTCTTTAGGGGCATCGTTGTGATTAAGATATAAGCATTGTTCATTAAGTGGCGCACTTTATCGTCGATTTTGGATGTGTTTGGGTCTGTAGGGTAATCTTATTCCATTATATTTGCATCAAACAAAATTTCTCTCAATATTCTTTATTATGCCAAACGTTTATCTTTGCTAATATTCCCGAGTATGTAAAATTCGCACATTTATATCTAGATCTCATTCACTATGGTGTAAATTTTGTTAATTTGAAATATGGTAATGAAATTGCACCTTTTTAACCCTTTCAAAAAGTCATTAAATACAAACTATAATTTAATTGTAATGATTTACTGCTTATTCATAATGTTGACGATTCTGCATTTTTAAATATCAAAATCATTGTAAGTTTCAATAAATACAGTGGAACTGAACTTTATTTCAGGAAAGTATCTGGTAAAATAAAATCATTCAATGTTTATCACGATTATCTCCCTTCTTTAATGTTAAAAGAGACGTTCCAAACAAACCTCTTCATCTATTTGTGTAAATGAACAGAATAATCAATGATTTATCCCGTATTAAAACATACGACTTTTAGACTTTTAATTATACGCTTGAAATTTAATGGCAATTTATTTTTGTAAATATTGATTTAAATATCCGATCAATATATCTCAGATCAAATAGAACTTGATTCTAACCTTTGAAACGTTAGTTAGTTTATATTTTTATTGTTCTTTATTTCAGTATCGATTTATTTAGGGGTCTAGTGTCGTTACTTGTTTAAAAGGAGGCATATTTTCTGTTGCCCTGAATTTACGTTTTACACTATCTAGCTGTGATATCATTAAAATAAACCCACAGTATTGATAATGATACTATTTATGAAATGCCATTAATAAATAAATTATTGATCTATATCAAAGTTTTAGTGTTGTATTTTCTTTCGATATGTAATACCATATATCAAGTGCATCTGTTTACCGTTTTAACTCGTACGTGATGATGTATATTTTATAAAGCAATAGGCAAAAATGCCTTTGTGCATTACATACTAACAATCCACATAGGTGGTACAGGTGGAGTGGAACATGAACATGGACAATGAAATATATTTGTAATTGGTATAATACACATACATGCAGCGACAGGTACGAGGACTTGTTTTCAGTCTACCCATGATGTACGTACGTAATGATCTACGTGATGAAGTTACATCACTTCAATAGATGTATACTGGCAATCACAATATTTTCCTGTGCTCTTTATTTCGCGAACTATGGTTGTGGAAATTATTCCCAAATACTTGATTTCGCGATTGAAATGATGATATTTCAATATTTATAGTAATTATCAATCACCTGAATGTTTGCGAATAATTTTTATCCTCGATTGAGTCTGAACGCGAACGAACTCGAGATCAATCTCACAAAAATACAGTGATTAACAATTGTGCAGGAATACTAATTTAGTTAATATTTATGAGGTAGTGATAGATATATGGATTATAAATTTGTTGGGAATTGATATTTAGATAATGACTTTTTCATTACAGGAATAAATAACTGACAAGTCAATCATGTTGCACACTAAATAACAAGGTGGTGGTATATGTTTAGCTTAGTGAAAAAGATATGTTGGACTCTTCAGTATCCAGAAAAAATGTAGACTAAGTGCTCCGATACCTATGAGTCCTGCACGAGCTGTATATGAGGTAATAATGGTTACATGCAAGGCAGCTGAAGACACATGTGAGGGATGTTATAGCCAAAGGTTAGGGTTGTTATAGCAGAAGTAAGTAATGTTATAGGCAGATGTTAGAAAAGTAATAAGCAAAAGTAAAGGGTGTTAGAGGCAGAGGTCTATTACAGGCAGATGTCTGTTATAGGCAGAGGTCAGAAGATGTTGTAGGCAGAGGTCGGGGGTGTTAGAGTCAGAGGTATATTATAGGCAGATGTCTGTTATAGACAGCGGTCTGTTATAGACAGAGGTCTATTATAGCGCAGAGGTCTATTATAGTCAAGAGGTCAGAAGATATTGTAGGCAGAGGGCGGGGGGTGTTGGAGGCAGATGTCTGTTATAGGCAGAGGTCAGAGGATGTTGTAGACAGAGGTCGGGGGATGTTAGAGGCAGAGGTCGAGGTCTATTAAAGGCAGAGGTCTGTTATAGGCAGAGGTCAGAATGTGTTGTAGGCAGAGGTCGGGGGATGTTAGAGGCAGAGGTCTGCTATAGGCAGAGGTCAGAAGATGTTGTAGACAGAGGTCGGGGGATGTTAGAGGCAGAGGTCGAGGTCTATTAAAGGCAGAGGTCTGTTATAGGCAGAGGTCAGAAGATGTTGTAGGCAGGGGTCGGGGGATGTCAGAGGCAGAGGTCGGGGATTACAGAAAGTCTGAAAAGCAGTGTTAGATAGATTACAGGTACACTGTAGGTGCGAGGGAGGTAAGAGATCGACTGACATGATCATAGCAAACTAATTTTCCCATATATTTTTTTGAAATTGAGTAAAACCCTTTTTTCTCCATTTTGTAACCGGTTATGGTAAAATAAGAAAAACATGTAATAAACAAAGTATCTCCTGAAAATTGATGTCGGGAGTCAACAAGTAAGAAGGTGTTTGATTTTACATTGTCTGTTGGTAATAAGTTGATATAGCATGAGACAAATAGAATATTAAAGATCAAGGGGACACAACACTTGTCAGCTTAGATCAGTGTCGGAAAAGACAAATTAATTCGAACTATCTGAGGGAGATAAACCAGTATGGCTGTTTTCCAGTATTAAAGAAGATGTTTTCATACATATTTATTAGCATGAAAGAGTATCTGCAGTATCACAAAATTCAGAATCTGCATTTTGTCCTGCATCTGCGAGCAATAACACATAAAACGTACAAAGGGAGACAATCCAAAATATAACTGCGCTACTATAAAAATACTACATGGTATCCAAATACCAAAAAAGCAAATCTATCAAACTGAAAGGCAAAAGGCACAATAGTTATGTAAAAACACTAAGACGATAAAAGGCTCTGAGGAATGATTAAGATAAAAGTATAGAAAAATATAGAACCGCGAACGTTCAAGAACAAATTACAAATACAAAGTCGATATGAAAATGCAAGAGCAGCATCTAGAAATACATCGTCAAAAAAGTTCGTTAACTCGTTCAAGAAGTGGAGGCGAAACTAGGAACTCTGTGGACAGTGGATAATAGTTCTATGTTAGCTGTTTATGCTGTTAGAGTATACCTGTATACAGTAGTTAATCTAAGACATACATTTACAGGAGACTCATGCAATATTTCCCCACCTTGGAGGTAGGACAGGGGTAAAGATTCCTTTATGTCTAGCCCAAGCTTTTGCCGACGGTCAGACAATTAGTTATATTACCCCGAGGGTTTAAATGCTCTTACTCCTAAATTGGGGAATGATTATTTTCTCCCAAATCAAAGACAGGTGGTTATTTCATGAAATACAAACGTTGATTTCGTTTTCTCAAGCAAATCGACGTTATCTTCCGAGAATTGCTATTGCTGACGTGACGTCAAACACTATTTATTACAAGAGATTTTGTTTAGGTTAAGTCGGAAATATATATCACTGTCAAATGGTGGACAAATAAACATCCAGAATCACCCAATTTATACCATTGTTTAAAGAGTCATAACCTACTGAGACATTATTTCGTTATTGGTGATATCATTAGTATATACTTTTTGATATACGTTTCCTGACAGATGATTGTTTTTATGATACTTGAGTCGTAACAAACCTCTTTCAGAATGGAGAAGAAGTATAGACAAAAGTCATAAAGATATAGTGATTCTCCAATGAGCGGTCGTTGGTTATCATGTTTAACTCAATTACTTAGTTTTCGAATTGTACAAATACACCGAGGTTTACAGAGTGTCTTTTACTATTTAAAAATCAACAAGCGAGAGTTAGATAAACATGATATTCAACCATCTTGCGTTTTGGGACCTTTTCTCACGCAACGTTCAGATATCAAATCTAGGAAACCACGTGACTCCTTGAGAATTATTGTTACCTGTTTATGATCGGGGAAAGAATTTCCAAGAACTATGACGTCACAATGAAAGATAACGTCACAAAGCATTGTTGTTTGACGCCATAATTGAAAGATTTACCAGTGGAATCACGTCCAAATAATGGTTACCAACTCCTAGCAGGTCAATCCACTGAGTTGGAAGTGAGGAAAACTGAAGTGGTTATGGGAGAAATACTGTCCGATTGCAGTATAGGAGCAAATGCCTACGTAAATTTAAAGTTGTAACGCTATGTTCAGCCGAAAAGAGAAAACACCGTTCACACACATACGTTAACGAAGGCGAAAACCAATTTACTTTGATGTAATCATTTTAGGATTCCTAAAGGTGGAGTAAAATCTAACTGAAAAATCTAAAAATAAAAGAAGTCACAAACTTCTAAAGACAGGGGCTATTTACACAAATACAACAATGATAGGACGGTAAATATCGTTATGATATTTTCATCGAAGAAACATCTGAAAGCGCAAACAAGATGGAAGTAGCAGTTATAATATAGATATCAAATAAATTGCTTCACAAATCTGATTATTACCAAATGATGAGAAGAACAACGAAATAAAAGCTTGCTTTCAAATAAGATAGGTAAGATTCCCGAATCTAGTAAAATATATATACTACATATATAACCTTGGATATAAGATTGTAACTGCGTGATAAATTTTTCATTAATATATTCAACACAAATACGGGCCGGAAGATCGATCGCACGAAAACACTCCTTCCCAAGCTGAGAGAGAGCTTAATTCCCCTCACTAATTACAACGTCAATAGGGAAACGTAATCACAAGCTCAATTTGAGGCGGACTCGGCGTGCTCGTGATATTGGAACTAGGTAAAATGTTAGAAGAATCGATAATTATATCATCTGCTACGGTATAATGTATAGATAAAGCACACACGACTGGAACCGATAACAATGGTTTAGAACGTGTTAAATGTCTCTATAATTAGGTTGTTTCATTGTCTAGATTTTAACATTATTCCGATCAACTCAATATGTGTTGGTTTCATTTCCGTATAATATAAAGCGAGACATGATGATCAGTTGTATACGGCAAAATAATAAAACATTTCATTGTTGTCTATCAATTTCAAATAACAATCATAAAACATGTAAAACTATAATGACAAGTATTCAATCCGTTAGCTGTTATTTGAGACACCGTCTAACCATTTCTTAACTTTAGATTTTATTTTACACATAGTCTTTTGAGGCATGTGTACATATACCTTTACAGAGTTCTGCAGTTCGCACATTAAGCCTTAAAATTCGGTATATTCTACAGAGGTATCACCTGGATATATGCGAATGTTCCTTCAATGTTTATTCCTAGGAGCACGGATATCAGCGGTTAAGTTTGCGTGCAATAAAACCAACTATCTTATTTTTTAAAAGGTTTGGTCCTAACATTAATCGTCAAAAACCATGTCACTTGTCGATTTGATAAGATATATAAGTGTATAAAGCCAAATACACACGACAGAGCGTCTATTATACTAGTCAAGTGAAATACAGATTTCGGAGATATCTGGTCCCGGTTGCTTAAAGGTTGGTGAGAGTTAACCAACGGTTAGGGAAAAATTAAAATATATGAATATAACAAAATATAACAATCTTATATCATTTCACTGCTACAAATTGGTTGAGACAAATAGGATTGATGTGCTTTGAGGGTTAACTTTGCTTTGGAAATCTTTGTTTCTTATTGGCAACATTTTGAATTTTTCACTATCCACTGGTTGTAGGTAACCGACATTTGAGTAACCAGGGCCTGATTTTAAAGACATTCATTTACAATTTAAAGTAGATGTTTACAGTTCGCGATTTTTTTATTAACTAAACCAACGCTGT